TCATTTCACTGATAAGAGGATCTCAAGGCATAGTCTTCCCCTCACTGCTTCCCCGTCTCTAGCAGGGAGGCGCAGGGTCTGGCCTCAGTGACTGGAATGGAGGACTACGGGGCCACGGGCCTGGATTCCAGCTCTACCCCAGCCTCCGTCCGGCTCTGAGCTTAAGCAAAGGCCCTCAGTACCTCAGGTTCCAGAAGCAGCCTCCTCGCCACTCGGGACGGGCCACCTGGAGCCATGGGTGGCAAGGACCCTGCAGGACCTGCCTGGCGCAGAGACCTGGGCAGGGATCCAGGGAAGCGACTTCCAGCTTGGCACTGTTTCCATGTAGCAATCAGTGGGAGGACCTGCAGGGGACCCATATCCCCCACACCCACCCACTGTCCTCCTCTCAGTGCCTCAGTCAGAGGTTAGAGGTCACTTTATTATTAAGAGAAATCTCCATGCATGAAACGCGCAAAAGAACCCCAGAAAACACATGATATTAAGAGACGCCATAGCTCCTTACTCTCACGGACAAACTCCTACACATCCCAGTAAGTCCCAGACAAATAGTCCCCTACGAATAGAGCAGACCTCTTCATCCATGGCAGACCCATTGCCTCTGCACAGAGGCGTGGCATTACTGCATCTCCATGCAACCAGGCAGGCACTTGTCCTTCTCCCTACACAACTGCCTTCCCGAGGACAGAGATCCGGTCTCCTCCACCACCAGTGGCGGAATGCACCAGGAGCCGCAAAGGGCTTTGGCCTACCTTATTATAGTTCTCACCGTAACTCTGCAAGTCTGCCGTGTGCCGGATAATAAACCTGAGGCTCAGAGAGGCTGCGTCACCAGACTACGGCAGCGGACAAGCGTCAGAGCCCAGCCAGTTTAGGACACCTGGGGCCGGTTTGTTGGTTTGGTTGAAAAGCTAAAAATAGAGGGGATCGTGGCAGTGTATCTGATTGGAAGGCGGAAGTGAGGGCAGGCTGGGGGGAGAAGGAAAACATTTCCAGCAAGAATGAGACAAGTAGTGTGTGTGTGTGTGTGTGTGTGTGTGTGTGTATGTGTGTGTGTGTGTGTCAGAGAGAGAGGGCGGTGGGGGAGGGAGAAAAGGCAAGAGAGAAGCTGAGAAGGGAAAGGCTGAGAATTGATAAGCAAATGTCTTAACGGCCCAGCTAAGGAGGATGACCTGCTCAGAAGTTCAAGGACACAGCCGTCCTTGAGGCTCAGAGGCTACTCCTGGACTCCTTGTCCCAGCGAGTCTCCTGGTACCATCTGATTTCTAACCTCCTGACCCTCCCGGAGCCCAGGGTCACCTCCCCCGCCCCGGGAGGAGCCTGCAGAGCCGAGGGGGTGGGTTGTCCAGGAGGTGGGCAGCAGGGCCCTGTGGCCAAGCCGAAGGTCATTGAGGCAGCTCGCACACTTCTCGCAAGTGCTGGAGCGGGGCCGCTGGGCCCAGATACAGGCAAACACGTCTGAGCAAATTGGAACGCCATAAAAGTCTATTACAGCAAATCAAACAGCAGTCAGCATGACAGCCATTAGCCTGAAATGAATACATGGGGACTTAATGAGGTCTGTCGAGGCTGGCTTGGTGAATTAAGTTGCCAATTCTAGCAGGATTTCCCTTTTCTTTACGGACTTGAAAGCCTCCACGCTGCCTCGTTAGGGCTTCGACGAGTGAATTGCAGGCCCTTTCACCCTGATAAAATGGATAATTACACGTAGAAAAGCTTAGTGAGGGGCGAAGGATGGGGAGGGGAGTGGGGGGTGGCCCCACAGAGAACAAACAAACCCAACCACAACACACACTACTTGCCTGCCTTTCCAGAGCCCCTAGCTGGGCCAGGCCCTTCAGAGAGCACGGGGCCCAGGCGCAGCCAGCTCCAGGATCAGGCAGTGGCTGTTCTAGAACACGCTCCATGCCAGGCCGGAGCCTCACATTTCTGGGTGTCCCATCTCCGTGCGACAAGTTTTCACCAAAGATGGGCAGCCTCCTAGCATCCCAGAACCCCTGCGGGGAGGGCAGGGGCGTGGGGGGATGGTGAGGACCAGAGAACTTAACCTCCAGGGCTTCCCAGTCTGGGATGGCCTCGCAGTTGGGTCCCTGAGGTTGGTTAGTCTGTTAGAAATGCAGCTCCCTAGGCCTCTCATTCATCGGCCAATCAGATTTGCAGGGGGTTGGGGGGAGGGGGGTGATCTACTAACCAGAACCCCAGGAAAGTCTGAGCCAGCTTTGCACAACACTCAGTGCTTCTGAGACAGGCGGTCTCCCAGCTTCTCCCATGCCTCCAGGGACAGGGAGCCGCTGACAGTCAGGGACCAGGCTGTGGGGCGTGGGGCGGCTTCCCTGTAGGAAAGCGCTTCCTTATGCACACTTGGCATGTGCCTCCTGTAACTCCCTGCCTGCCTCTGGGTCCTAGGCCCACCACGCCCAGCCCAGTGGTGTGAGAACTGCCCTGGGAGGGCCTGCTGGAGGGCAGGCGGCAACGATGCCAAAAGAAGTGCTGAGTGGGCAGAAGCACATGGGAGCTTCCCCGCCATCCCTGGGGGCATAGGAATGTCCTAGGGATGAGAGGAGCTTCTCCCAGTGGCCTCCACCTGGAGATCATGTTCGTCAACTGGGACTTTCTGGTCCAGCTCCCAAGCTGGACATCTGTGGTGGCTGGAGCCAGCAGAGGGGCAGTGACAGGCCAAGTGTCACCCAGGCAGTTGTTGATAGATCCGGGACTGGAGCGCGGGCATGTGGCCTCCAGTCTTCCTCTTCCCAGGATACCACATTGAGCATCCATTTCTCACCTCCTCCAGGAAGCCGGCTGGGATTTCTGCAAGCTGGCAAGCCCTTTCTACAGCCCTGCATCTGGGGTCTACAGCACCTCCTGCTTCCTCAGCGGGCAGCCTCACTGTTCACACCAGCAGGGCCTGCCCCCTGCACTTACACTTTGCAAGGACAGACCCCTGACACCGCCTCTGTGGCCGCAATGCAACCTGGAATCCCTGAGTTCAATTCCAGGCAGGGGCCAGTAGGTCCTTTGCTGATACCCAGCTAGGGCCTGAGCCAGGCAGCTACGTTCCAGCTCAGAGCTAGTCAGTGCCAGGGCCTCGTGGGTCAGGAGTGGCCTGGCCTTTGTCCAGCTGACACCATACCCCCACTGGGCACCGTGGGCAGCCCAAGGTGGGCATCGAGTGTCCGGCCATGCACGTGTCTACGGGCATCTTACACAGGAGGAAGTACACCTCGGGCCTCCCTCCAAGGACACTGTGTTCTTTGCACCATCCCCCCGTCTCGATCAGATGGGCAGGGGACAGGCCATGTTATCCCGTGGCTCTTGTCCTTCTCTTCTATTACACAAGGAGGACTGCAGCCCGGAGAGGCAGAGCAAACTGCCCAAATGGACCAGCCACTGGGTACAGAACAGGGGATGTGGGACCCATTGTCTTCCAGGTGTAAGCCCAGTCATTCTCCATGGCTACAGCCAGCCACCCAGGTCTGCACAGAGAGAGCCGGGCCCAGAGCCAAGTGTGGCAGACACTCCATAAATATTTGTTAAATAAGTGAGTGACTGAGAGGCCCTGTCCTTGGAGGCAGAGACCTCTGGAGAGTCCCAGGGGAAGCCGGCAGGCCATATCTCCTGGCACAGAGGAGAGGGCTAGGCTGGCCTCTGGCCCAAGAACTGGGGAGGAGGGATGTGACCCCCGGTCACCTTGCCATTGCTGCTGCCTGCTTCCCCCTGTGCGGAAGCCAGAGGGTAGCCATGCCTGCCAGGATGGCAGCTGAGCCAAGGGCCCAAGGCTCATTAACTGTGAGCAGTGCCCTTGGTTTCTGAGCCCGGGCCCAGAGTGCAGGCTGGCACGTAGAGACCCTTAATTAAATTAAGAAGCTTTCCAAACCGGAGGCAGCCCAGAGCCATCTGCAGCCCCAGGGCGCAATGGCCACAAGGCCCTTTGCTGATACTCAGTGCTGTGCCCCCATGTGGAGTGCTGCGCCCCTGTCCCAGCAAGGGAAAGGCAGTGGGCATCTGACCCCCCTTCCCTCCACCTGGGCCACAACATAGGACCCTTGGCTCACAGCCACAAAGGCAGGGGCAGAGGCAAGGCTGTCCATCCTCCAGGGAGTCTGAGTCTGCTCCGGAGCCAGGGGTCCTCAAGCCACAGCAGGGTGACCTTGGGCAAGTCACTCTCCTACACCGGGTCCCGGTTTCCTCTCAACAGGACGCTCTGGAAAGGCTCTGCTCGTTTCCTCACCCAAAGGCCTGTAATAGAGGAGGTAGGACTCCCATGCCAGGGGCCAGAGCTACTCCCAACCAGGTAGAGGCTCTTTGTGCACACCTTCAGGGTCTTTGAAGCGCCTACTGCCAGCTCCGAAGATGGCAAGGAGCCCCTCGGGAGAGGGGCAGCAAGCAGCGAGAACCCCGGTGCCACCAGGAGCCAGCAGCCAGCTTCTTAACGAACCGTTTGTAATGCAATAATTTGTACTTCTCAATTACCAGGAATGGCTTGATTTTACATGCATGCACTCATGCAAACATACTGAGAGTACACAGACGACCCAAAGGAGCAGGCGCCAAGGAAGCGGGGTCAGGGGGCGGGGGGAAGCCCCTTCCTAGAGCCACGGGCTCTGGGTGTCCTGGGGGACCTGGCCTGAGCCAAAGCGGGCAGGCCTGGAATGAGGCTTGCCAGCCCACCCTGCCTGCAGCCCACAGGTGGCGGTGAACGGAAAGACAGAGGCTGAGAGATCAGCCTTCCACCCCTGTCCCACCTCTGACTCCACTTGGGACTCATCCCAAAGTCGGCCTGTCTCAGGCTGCAGGCTGCACCAGTCCACCGCCCAGCCACCCTTGCAGGCCGCCAGCTGGGCCCTGTTCACCAGCCTGCCACAGCTGGCACCTGGGCTGACGGATGTGCAGGAGAGTCAGACCTGCTGCTGTCCCCAGTTCACCTTCAGACAACTGGGAGCGACAGCCCCAGTGGGCCAGATGCGAGCGGCCCCCGTGCCCAGGCTCCTACCTCAGGGATGCGGACGCTGTAGGGCTGGTTGTGAAAGGTGGGTGCATTGTCATTCACGTCCCCAACCTGGATGTTCACCTTCCGCGTGATCACCTGGCCAGAGGAGGACACGGAGCTAGTTAATGTTGGCATCCGCCTCTGGCCTCTCTCCATGCGGGAGCCCGGGGCCCTGCCAAGCCAGAACCACGCCTCCCACGCCAGAAGGGGTCCCAGGGACACTTACCCCCTGGTGGTCACTGACAGAGAACTCCACCGTGAATTCTGACTTGGTCTGGAAAACAAGAAAGCGAGGGTTAGAGAGGTGGGTGGAGGCTGTGGGTGGGCTGGGGAGGCTCCAGCACAGCCCCCAGGGGTTCTGTGGGGTGGAGCTCTGGGAGTGTAGTGGCTACGGGTTGGGCTGTGATCTGCATGGTTCAAATCCTCCTCGGGCACGGGACGGGACCATCCCAGAAGCCCACAGGGGGCGGCTGGGTGTCCGGTTTGGTTGTGCAGCTTCTGAAGGCTCTCCTGCAGCTACAGCCGCACCAGCCTTTGTGTTGGTGGGTCAGGCTACCTCCGGGGCCTTCCCACAACCGAGCCCTGGATGAGAAGTCGGGACTCTTGGGTTCCGGTCTCAGCCCCACCTCTCAATCACTGTCCCTGGTGCCTT